TAGAGTCATTTGGGGTAAATGTGCGCAGTGGGTAAGAGTGCGCAATCCCATGTATTTGGGACTCAAATGAATGGGTTTGCGCACGCTTATATATATACCCACTGCGCACATTTACCCCAAATGACTCTACTAGCGTTCGAGATATTACAAAAACAAAATTGAAAAACTGGAAAAATCGCGAAATTTTGAGTTTGCATATCTTTTGAAAAAAATTTTTTTATTTTTTTTCCTTTGGCAGAACTCCGTTATATGATAAAAGAAAACTTCTAACCAAAATTCGTCCAAATCGAAAGGGGTCGATTCCCACTATTGGTCGATTTGACATGGAATAACCCATATATTTTAAATAAATAATTAAAATATTTTATAATTATCAATTGTAAACTGTTAATACTTTACAACTCCAAAATTAGTTGATTCAGAAAAATCTTAAATAATATTGAATTAAATTCATATGATGATTAATGATTTTATGTTTATACAATATACCAAAATTTTTACTATAATAAAACATTTTTGATTGTTTTTAACATTTTTCTTCGATCATTTTTACATTTTTTTTTCTTATGCCAAATAAGTATAACTTCTGACGCGTGTACATAAGTACACACACCATTTTTTTTTTTTTTAAATTTCAGCTCATGTCGAACCAGAAAAATTTCTGAGGGTCTTCAAAAGGTTAAGCTAAATGTTAAGTTAGTGTGCAAAGGATTAAGAACGTATAAAATAGAACGTATGAACAAACAGAGCAAACTGAGGCAAAATACGTGGCTATCAATTGTAGTTGCAATAAACGAAATGGACAGGAATCGGAAGAATATACAAAGTAGAGAAAGCTACGCAGCTATTTTTGTAAAGGGGTAAATGGGGGAAAAAAGAATACTCGCGCGAGAGAATTTGCGTCCCCGTGTCTCTCTAGCTTTCGCAAGCGCACCTCTCATCCTCTCGTAGTCATGTACTCTTTGTTCTGGCATACCAAATGTATGTATATAACCCCCTTCATCGTCTATAGAAGCACATAGCCAGGCGTTAGCAACGAATAAACAAGATATATGCCATGCACTCTGCACATACAATTATCGTTATAATCGTATTTTTCGCGAAGCTCGGTGGTATTCCCACTTCCACCACTATGACTGTTATACTATTACGAACAGCGCCATTTTTTTATTCCTCCTTCCCACATAAACTCGCACAACTTTTCTGCTCGGGATTTGGGAAGTGAAACGGAAACGTGAGCTGGCAACGAAAGAAACATAGCATTGCTGGAGATTTCCTTCTGCAAAACGAAAAGAACTGCCCCATAAATTTTCACTCTGACAGAGTTGCTGAGACAACAAAAGAAACTGAAAACAAGTGTCTCCATAATGTGTCGCAAACAAAAGTATAAAGTATGATATAATAAAATTTCTGAAGTAAAATTGAAATTTTTTGGTTAAAAATTTTTAAAAGATTTATTAATTTGAGTCGAAATAAATTTCACTGTGTAAAAACTGTATGGAGCAATAATTTAATTTTTTTTCATGAATGGATCATAATTTAAATAATAAAAAATCATGTAAAATATCCAATCTTGGATATAGTTTCTCAAATAATTTCATAACCATTAGCATTTTACAATCCATATAACGATTAGGTTCTTTAAATACTAATAAATAAATAAATAGAAACAACATCAATATATTTCTCGATAAAATATCAATTCATTTTTACGTACACTGATAAAAATATTGACTTTACTCAAGAACCAAACTCTTGAACCAAGAATACCATTTTGAAGGAAATGAATAAAATTATTTGATGGTTCACTTCATTAGTCGAAAGAAAAATAATGTGATTCTAGAAAGAATATTGTCTTGGATATTTTTTCTCAATTGACTTCAATAATATCACTTGATTGACAAAAGCTGCGCACTCTTTTGATTCTAAAAATTTTATTCTCTGAAAGCAAAAGGGTGACGAGATATTTTAAAGGTTACTCTATGGAATGAAGCAGGTATGAAATTTTTTATCAAGTAGCATTATTAGTTTCAACAACATGTTCACATTACTTACCATAATAAATACCATTTCTTTACATTTTTCAACAACATTTTGTAAGTATATAGTTGAAAAAATCAACAATCACATAGAGGATTTAAAGTGTTTTGAAGCTCTAAACGTCGAATTTTGGAAATTTCCAACTGAGAAAATAAGAGCTACGATTCTCAAGCAAGGATTAGCGCGATTAAAAAATTTTCCAAATTCTCAGTCTTCTTTTTTCTAGTCGACGGGTTTGAAAAAAAATTTTTTGGTTAAACCATCATAATAATTGTTGTACAAAACATTGAAGGGCAGTTATAAAAATTGAAAAAAATTTCTTACAAAAACCTATCGACCTATTTTGAAAAAAAAAAAGTTTTTTTTGGGAATTTTTAAGAAAATGAAGTGCTGGTGTTCTTGCATAAAATTTAATTATGAAATTAAATGCCAACTACCGATTAGTTTTAGATCAACGTGGACTTTTTTTGGAAATCATTTTATTATTTAAGGATCTTTTTACACCTCTCTTAAATAAGGACTGTATCTTAACAATTTTTTTGTAATTTCAAAAAGTAACTGCAGCAGATGTATTTTTAACTTCCCGCTAAAAATCTCAGATTTTCAAAAATCGGGAAGTTATTGTTTTCACTCCGTTTTACAAAAATCGAGTTTTCATCAGATCTCGACGTTTGAAGGTCACAGGAGGCTTCCCTGACTATTTTTACGATGATGTCCGTACGTCTGTATGTGTGTGTGTGTGTGTGTGTGTGTGTGTGTGTGTGTGTGTGTGTGTGTGTGTGTGTGTGTGTGTGTGTGTGTGTGTGTGTGTGTGTGTGTGTGTGTGTGTGTGTGTGTGTGTGTGTGTGTGTGTGTGTGTGTGTGTGTGTGTGTATGTAAACCTCTTGTAACTTTTGAACGACTTGACCGATTTCATCGCCGTTGGTGTCATTCAAAAGGGCTTCACTAAACTTAAATTTCCTGAAAATTTGAACCGATTCGGACCGGTAGATTTCGAGAAAATGCAAAAAAAGTGAAAAAAAGTTGTTTTTTTGTTATTTTTTTTAAATATCTCCGAATTGGCTGAAGCGATCGGTCTCAAAAACTAATCAGCTCTTAACCTTGAAAACCCCCATCGACCGCCACCAAAAACGATAGAATCGGTTGATGCGTTCGTGAGATATCAATGTCGAAAAAAATCGAAAAAAGTGTTTTTTTGTAATAACTTCGAAATTCATGGCTCGATCGATTTAAACTTGAAAATTTTTCATGGAGCTTCAAAAACTGCATCGATTGCCGCCAACCGCGTGAAAATCGGTTCATTCATTCAAAAGTTATTGCCGTTTGAAAATTCAAAAAATTGTGTTTTTAAACTGCTATTAGAGTTTTGAGCTCGAAGA